CCCCACTTTGAATCATTCTGCTGCACCACCTATCAGGCTTTTCTTTTCAGTGTCTCTGGCTGGGAATGTGCTGGGACTGGGGGCTTGGTTGGGAGTAATAACCCACATTTTTTGAACTCATTACTAAGTAAGAACTCATCTAGCGAACTCACACTTACATACTATTTCCTAATAATATTTCCTAATAATATAAATACACAGGTTTCACAAAGAAGTAAACAAGACACAAAAATCTAATTCCCTAGGCCAGAAAATTGTTATGTAGAAAAGTCAGGCTTCAAAGACTCAGGAAGAAATTGCGATCATAATTTTTAGCTTCTGACTTAATTTGTGAGAAAAAAAAAAGAAAAAGAAAAGCCACTCTCAAAAAATTTTCTATTACAGAAAATAATTTTTCAATTGAAAATTTTCCTGTGCAACTGAAAATTTTCTTATTTTTCAGTGAATTTGAATACTAAGCAAAAATTTTCCCTGAATTGAATAGTAAGACACTCTTACCATTTTGTTTTAAAAGTCAAGTATAATTTCAATGACAAAAATTAACAAGGGCAGTACAATAAATTATTGCAGAACGATTTTTCTTATTAACAGAATTTTAGGTTATAAATAAAATATGGCATATGAAACTAATCAATTAATAGAAAGGATACTCTATTATATAACATTGATGGCAGTTTTCTCAGAAAAAAAACCCCACTTTGCTTAATATTAGAAAATTTTTAAATGTAAGTTGTCACATTAAAATATTAAAGGACCTAAAATGAAGAAACCATAGCTTGATGAATTTCAACATCCAGTGACCAAAAAGCAGAACAAAACAAAAACACACACAACAAAAAGAAAATACATGAGGGAACTAATCTGGAAACAAATAATTGACAAAAATCCTATTGCAAAAAACACTTAAAATGTGAGAGGCTAAATACTTTCTCAGTGAGATGAGCAAGTCAGGGATGCTCACTTTTACCCCAAATTATACTGACATCTCTAGCTTGTTTACCAAAGCAAGGAAAAAAATTATAAGGAATGATATTGGAAACAACAAGCCGAGAACATATTTAAACAGAGATTATAGGATGTAAGTTGAAATCCCAACTGATCTACGAATAAATTATAAAACTATTGAGAGATTTTGGTAGAGTTGCCAGAATGCACTGTATTGTGATCTAACAATAGCACACATTTTCCAAATGACATTTAAAATAGCATGAAAAAATCACACATTGAGATTAATTTAACAAAATATACACCAGAACTTTACAGAAAAATTGTGATATAGTTTCATTTCAAAAATTGAAGTATATCTAAATAAGCAGAAAAATAGTACACTCATGATTTGGAAGACTTGAGGCTGAAAACTTGTAATTTCTTTCCAAATGGATCTCTGGTTCTACTGTAATTCTACCCTAAATCCAAACAAGAATGATTCAAAAATTTGCCTTGAAAGGTAAAGATCAAAGACTAAATCAATCAATTTTTAAGAAAAAAATAATTTTTCAGGACTTCTTCTATTGTATATCAAAGCTTATTACTTATGGATAGATCTGACTATAAATACACAGACGCATGTAGATAGTCTGTAAACAGACCCATACATATATGGACATATACTGTACAAAAAATCTGGCACTATAGAGCAGTGTATAATGGAGTGAATTTTCAATAAATATTGCTGGGACAAATATCCACGCATAAGTTAAAATATAAAATCAATGTATTCTCATGTCATGCCAAAATTTACTTCCAGTCTGATCAGAGAAATAAATTTAAAAATCAATCAGAAAGAAAAAATGCAATCCATAATATAAAATAAGAAGAAATAGAATATAAAACACATAATACTGTATGAATATGGTGACAATTTAGCACATAAGATATGAGAATTTCTTCATTATTTTAGGGAAAAAAATGGAGGAAAAAACCTGAAAAGGCATTTTGCAAAGAAGAAGGGAAAGTGAAAAGACCTATAACTGAATCAAAAGAAATTACATCAGATTAATAATAAAAGGAATTTGAATTATAACCAGAATGAGCAAGCGCTACTCACCCATCAAACTGAAAATATTAAAATGTCTAGTGTGACAGTATTAAATGTTGGCAATAATTAAAGGGAAATAATTAGAAAACACATACAATACAGGGGGAATGTAAATTAGGACATCTACTTTGGAAAATTGTTTGATTAGTATCTAGGAAAAGAAAAGAAACCAGCTCTGTGTGATCCAGAACAGGCATGCACAGAGAAAATCTCACAGAACGAGGACGTACGTGCCATGCAGCAGATGCTTGTGCAGGAATGTTCACAGTAGCATTTCCATTAAAGACAAAAGGAGTGGGATTGCAGGATCATATGAGGTTCCATTTTTAGTTTTTTGGGGAACCTCCATACTCTTTTCCATACAGTATGTAATCGGCTGCACTATTTACATTCCCACCACAGTGCATAAGTGTCCCCATTTCTTCACATCCTCTCCAACATTTGTTATTTGCAGATTTTGCAAAGAGAAGAGGGAGGGGCAATTGAGGGGTATCAGATTAAGAGATACAAAATGCAATGTATGAAATAGATAAGCAACAAGGATGTATTGAATAGTCCAGGAAATGATAGCCATTACCTTTTAGTAACTTCTAGTGAACTATAATCTGTAAAAATTACCTAAAAATATTATAATAGTGTAAATCAACTGTGCTTCAATAAAGAAGAGGAAATAACCAAAGCACATTAGCAATAGTATAAATTAACAAATTAAGGTATATTTATTTTATGAACTACTCTTCAGCAGTAAAAAAATGAACTACTGTTACAGCTAGTCATGCAAATATTCTTTTAAAATAAAATGCTGAACCAAAGAAGCCAGACATTAGGGAAGACATATTCCAAGTTTTTCTTTATATGCATTTCAAGAAGAAGCAAAGTTAACTTTTCTCATTTTGTAACCTGTTCTCAAGAGTTGTAGCTGAAAATGAAAGTTTATGAGTAACACAAACTCCACAAGGGTGTTGGGTCCTCATGAGGTCAGAGAGGAGCAGGACCAGGAAAGTGCTCATGGAGATGCTGCAAAGGGCTGACAGTGCTCTGTCTGCCATTTCTCAGACAGACAAACATACAGGATTATTATTCAGAATGACTTGTCTACCTACGTGTCATATTCATGATTTGAGAGAGAGAAAGAGAAGGGAAGAGAACAGAAAGGAGGGGAAGCAGCCATGGAAGGGTAGCAATTTTCAGGTTCTGGGGATTAGGGTGTGGACATCTTTAGAGGACCATTGGTTAGTCATTTACACTCTGAAGGTGAGGCATGAACAGAATTTTCTTTCTTGCCTTTTTTTTTTAAACTTTAGCCTGCAGGTGATTTTTTAGAGTACAGTGCAATTAAATAAGCACAGGTGTATATACATGATCTAGATTTCTGAATAAATTTTACCCCATTATTGAAGAAAATTTAATAATCCAATGTATAAAGCACATTTAAAAAATAACTTTCTCTATTCATATAAGGTTACATATGTGTATATATATAATCAAAATTACATTGCATGAGAAAACAGTTTGGTGTTAATTAACTTTCTGGCTGCCTCCTTCACATCATTATTTCTAAGGCTGTAGATAAGGGGGTTCAACATGGGGATGACAATTGTGTAAAACACAGTGGCTACTTTGATGAAGAGCCATGAGCTTGTGGAGTTGGGCACACAGTAGAGAAGAAGGAGGGTCCCATGGAAAATGGTGATGGCAGTCAGGTGGGAGGCACAGGTGGAGAAGGCTTTGTGGAGTCTGCCAGTAGAATGCATCTTGACGATTGTGACAACTATGAAAACGTAGGAGGAGAGGATAATCAGGAGACTACATGCCTCATTGAACGTAGAAATGATGAAACACGTCATCTGACTGAAGTAGGGGTCAGAACAGGCTAGAGAGAGGATGGCAGAATACTCACAACCAAAGTGATTTATGGTGTTGGAACCACAGAAGGACAGTCCCAGAAGAGAATATGTGATTGTCAAGGAACACATCCCACCCCACGTGTAGGATGCAGCTACCAGGAGGGCACAGAGCTTACGAGACATAGCGACTGTGTAGAGCAGGGGGTTACAAACAGCCACAAGTCGGTCATAGGCCATCACCGCTAACATGAACATTTCTGTAATTACAAATGCACAAACAAAGAAAAACTGTGCCATGCATGCTTTGAAAGAGATAGCTCTGTCGTCCACAACCAAGATCTCTAGGAGTTTGGGTGTGAATACACTGGAATAACAAATATCCAAAATGGACAAATGGCTGAGGAAAAAGTACATGGGTGTGTGGAGTTTGGGATGGATCCTTATGACCACGATTATGCCCAGGTTCCCCAGCAGAGTGATCGTGTAGATGGTCAAGAATGCTAGGAAGAGGGGCACCTGGAGGGGTGGGTATTCTGAGAAGCCCAAGAGGATGAAGGTGGTCACAGAGCTCTGATTTCCCTCATTCAGCACCATGACTCTGGATTTTTTAAGTAAGTAAGTAAGTAAGTAAATGAATAGATGAATAAATGAATAAATGAATGAAAAGGATTGATATTGGGCAGCAGAACATGAGAAGGTGGAGTAAGAGGAACTCACTACAGCTCAACCTAAACTAATGAAGGCAACATGGTCATCGTGTACCCACAAGGGTTCTGAAAGCTTCCATTTAAAGTCTTACGTGACAACGTAACTGAATTTGATTATGGGCAATTCCCTTTATCCCTCAGAACTTTAGTTTCCTCATCTGGAAAAGAAGAAGAAAACAGTAATTATCAATAGCATTATTTTATATAAATGATTTCTAAATGTAGGTGATACTTAGAGCATTGAATAGCCCCATGATAAAATGTAACTATATGAGAACAAAGGAGACAGAGTGAAATCAAGAAAAAAAAAAATTGAGCTGACCATAGTAGCTCCATGATCATGGCAGAAGTGACCTTAGGAAGAGTCAACACTTTTAATACATAAGGAAAAATATGTTAGTAAATTTCTTTGGAGAAAGAAGTATTCTCCATTCACAAGTCTGTATTGGTAAATTGAATGTTTAGCTGTCTAAGTATACCCCATTATTAAGGACTCATAGAACATCTGCTTAACAGGATCTTCAAGTGGTCTCCTCAAAAACTCCACTAATAACTAAGTTCTCTCAGTTACACATCCACCAAATGGTCATTTATAAGGCTCAAAATTAGTAAGCATATTCCTAAATTAAATTAATTTAATTAATTCTCATTCAGCCTCAGTCCCTTATTACATATGTAGCTTTAGCAAACTGTTAACTTTATGAACCTCAATTTTATCATCTATGAAATGCTAATAATAGGACTATCCTTGGTCATTTAATGCTTAGTGCAGAAGTCTCAAATCAGGTATGCCTTTAAATTATTTGAGAACACGTCCTACACTTAGTTAAAGCCTCTACAAGTATCAGCTCCCTTCCACCTGAATTTTCTAATGTTGTTTTTTTCCAAGAAAATGCCATCAGTTCCAAGTGTTTAAAATGTCTTTTCATGCACATATGCCATGTGATTTTAAGAAGGGTTTTATATCCT